TTTCCGGTTTGGGTTGGCGCATTGGGAGAGGGTGTTGCATCAGAAGACCTAGGTCTCTTAGCTCCTCCACTCGCCGCAATGGCCCTCATTTTTCTTAACTTCTTCTTCTGGCTCTTGGACAGTCCAATGGTACCAGACACACTGTCCCCCGAGTGCCTCTGGGGACCAGAGACTTCTACAGAGGAAGGGCCTGAACCTTTGGACGCCTCACCAGCATCCGAAGCAGACTGCAAAGCAGCGGTATTAGCACTGGGCTCACCCGAGGGCTTACCATATGCTACTGGAGACTGTATTACACTTTTCGAACAGGAACCTCTGCCTAATTCCTGAACGCATCCCTTGTTAACCGGCGCGACGGATGATGCCGTATCCAAGGTTTTTCGTTCACTCATCATGATGTTTGCCTGCCATTCAGTTACCCAGTGAGGGGTATCCAGGGGGCACCACGTGGAGGCGGCAGGCATTACCCCCCTAATAAGGATATACATAAATGCAAAGTAAAAAAGACCTGTCATACGTATTTGTCCTACACACTTATTTTATCATTTGTCTTAAAATCCTTGTAATATAAATAATGAAGTTTTATATGTTTTGACAAGAACAGAACAAGATAAAATTACAATAACTATTTTCTTGTAAGGAAACTTTAGATCACTTGCAGAATGCTCATTAAGGATTAAATTATCTAACAAGAAATATTATTAAATTTAACATATCCTAGAGATATATAACATTGATGAAAATCCCCACAATCTGGCGTTAGTTAATAAATTTTTTTTTAATAAACTTCATGAAATGTTAAGTAACATGTGATGATTATTTTGTATTGAAATTTAATAACAAGGCATATAATCTGGTGAAAACAAGATTAAGTGATAGTGGAAAAAGCAGCAGCTATTTTACTGCTTCGTTTAGTTATTAATATTTCTAAAATGTTGATTGTTAAATGTTAAGGGAAAAACTAATTAGTGACACTAACAAATAGTGGATTCAGAGACTTCATTTTGTTGATTTAAAATCAATGATCATGCAATGTTATGTGATTCTACTGCTGTTGCTCTTTCCAAATGTTTTCGTTTTGAGCTCTTTTTTTTCGTTGAAAAAAATCTTTGTTGAGCAATTTTTTTGTTTGGAGGATCATTGGATAAGACTGAGAATTTATCTTTCTTACGTTTAAATAAATTTTTTGATTTTGTCAAAATATTTTTTAGTTCTAACAGTTCTTCCGGGGAATCACATTCCTCTATTACTTTACCCAGTTCAATATGAAGTTTTTTGACATTTGATTTTAAGCCATCAATATCCTCAATTTTTCGTTTTAACGATGTAACATGAACATCCTTTTTGTTGTCTTTGATAACCTGCAATTCATTTTCATCAATTGTCAAATCATCTTCAAGAGGGGTTTCAATATTGTTGTCTACCACTTCTGTAAAAACTGCTGCGTCTTTAACCTTTGAGCAAACTGCATGAATATGCTTACACATATTCCATTGCATGGCATTATCAATCCAAGTACAAGTGAAATTATGAATGCAAAAACCTCATTCTTTACACAATAAAGGGCATTCCTTACTGCATTCATCAGCTTTATGAACGTTATACATTTCCCCGATTCTTGTTTGAGAATGTATTATCCATTCATTTTCGTTCTGAGGATATATATCAGTTGTTAGACTTTTACTCATCTTATGCCTATTGCGTAATGTTGATATCTTGAAAGATATTTTGCCTTTCTCTAAAGCAATGGATCGGTCAAACAACTTATCCCTCACAAATTGCATGAGGCAATGGATCGTTTTGTCTAAGCGTTTGACCTTTTTCCCCTCTAAGTATATGTACTTAATTGTTCGATGCATACGCTCAATATGCATGTTCGTATTTACACCATCCCACGTTCTATATGAATAAGCCCATACTTCAGCTCTGCGCAAATAGTTTTTTTCAAAATAAACTCCAAAGCTTTTTGAAAGTTCATTTTCTTGAAACAATTTCACAGCATTTCCTGCTAACACGATGAAAGTGTTGAGATCTGGTTCCGATAGCAGACATCTTATGATTTTATGAATATTGGCTTGCTCTTCCTTATTTGGCACCAATTCTGAAAGTTTTTTCCGCCTACTTTGATCCACATGCCAAAAGCAAAGGAGACGCTTCTGAGGTTCTCCGAACGTATCCTTCCAAGCGTTGTAGAATGATTCAGTATCATCCGTCATAAGGACCTTAGGAGAGATATTCTCACAAATATGTTTAATAGCATGAAATGCTACAGAAAGAGCAACACTATCTTGCCTGTTGCTTATAATGAATGCAGCAGGGAAGCCTTCTCGTTTATCATCTAAAACTACAATAGTAGCAAGATCGAACCCATAAGCATTAACCCCATGAGTGAAGTCAATACAAATCACATTATTTCTATATTGACTTAACATGTGAGCTTAAGAAGAGTTCATTATGACCAGGAGGAAGTCCTCTGGTGTTAATATATCATGTGTTGAACTCTGTGGTTTGTATAAAACAACTGGAGAGACTTCACTGCCTTTTATACTCTCCACCCGAGTTTCCACACTCACAGCATCACTGGTATCAAGAACACCATTGCAAATATTGTACTGATTTTTTGTATTTAAAATGTCTTTTCTCGTCAAGAGATGGACTGCCTGCAATTCATCAGTAAGGGATTCACGGATATCATCTAATATAACTGAAATAGAAATTTTATTCAACAATTTAGAAGCAATAACATTTCTCTCTTGGTCACTGAGCTTCATTCTCCCAATATCATTTTTATGTCTTATGTGCGTTTTTGTGTATTCAACAGTAAGAACTGACTTTTTTTCGACAACCTTCATCATAGCATTAATTTTGTTACTGCCCATACATTTAATGTTTCTTTCACCAATACCTCTTGAATTGAAAACTCCACTTCGATGACAATAGTAGTAGGTGGTTTTAAAACTACCATTATCTTTAGATCCAGAATTCTGGACAAACATAGCATGATTTTCAAGTTCAATATTTCCTTTCCAAGAAGAAAATGAGTCAAATGAAGAAAATTCAAAAATTTCCTTCTGGATTTTAAGATCATGTGCCTGTTCAACATGAAATTCCATTTTCGCTTTAGACGGAAATGTTTAATTGCAAACAGCACACTTGATGCCGGATCGTGATCCATACGGCATATTCTCTAAACTTTTATCTGGATGCTTCATACATACAAGTTGGAAACTCGTTGAATATATCTTCTCACATTCAACACATTTATGTTGAATATCATCCATTTAAACAGCAGATCGCAAAGAACCAAATTTAAAATAACAAAAAAAAACAACTAACTTTAAAGTAAAAAAATATTAAAACAACAAAAGCAAAACAAATAACAATAATAAAAACAAAAATATAACGAAAAAATTCAACAAATAAGATATTTTATACAAGTTCAATAATTACAGCAAACGTCGCAAAAATAAACATAAACAAATGCGAACGGTGACGGCAAACCTTTGAAATTTAGCCAATACGCCAAGGATGCGAATGGGAAAATCCCCAATATTCTTAGTGTAATTTCCCTTCTTCCCTGTTTTTACTCTTCCGACGAAACAAGTTTTTAACATTATAGAATCGTCCTCCCCCTAGTCGCTTGTCAACTCTCAGCAGTGGATCACTCGGCTCACGGGTCGATGAAGAACGCAGCCAGCTGCGAGACTTGGTGTGAATTGGAGGACACATTGAGCACTGATTTTTCGAACGCGCATTGCGGCCTCGGGTCCTGCCCGGGGCCTCGCCTGTCTGAGGGTTGGATGAGACTTGCAGAGGAGGCTTCGCCTCCACCTGGCCGCACCGGACCGATAGGTCCGCCGGCTCGAAGCGCTCGGTTCCTTCCCCGGCCGATTGCGGCGTCCCACCGACGTCGCGGTGCCTCGAGGAGAAGACGCTACACATGTCGTCTCTGAAAAGAGAGAGGCCGGAGGGAGAGATCGCAAAAATTTTTTTTGTGTCGACCTGAGATCAGACGAGACGACCCGCTGATTTTAAGCATATAAATGAGCGGAGGAAAAGAAACCAACAGGGATTTCCTGAGCAATGCGAACGAAAAGAGAAGAGCCCAGCGCTGAATCCCGGATTCTAGCGGGTCCCGGGAAATTTGGCGTTCGGGAGTGAGCGTGCCGCGGTTCGACCTTGCAGCAAGTCCCCCTGACCGGGGCATCTTTCCAGAGCGGGTGCGAGACCCATAGCTGCTCGGTCGTCTGCGGATGCGATCTCCTTGGAGTCGGGTTGCTTGGGAGTGCAGCCCTAATCGGGTGGTAAATTCCACCGATCACGGAGAAATAAAAAATTTCCCTGATAATTCCCGAGTTGGGTGTTATGAAATACTTTCGCCCCCGAGTTGAGTTGCAAGCAAAAATTCAGCCCCTAGGTTGGAACCATAATCTATAATCTTTCATCTTCGAATTTATTCGATGAGAAGACAAGGATCTGATGCGTATTGAGCCTACACAGTGCAAAAATTTCAATTTTTGAAGAAAAAAAAAATAAAGGGTCAAAGTTTAATTTCTAATTTTAAAAAATTTGTATGTAAATATACATTTATATAGGATGATGCTCCGACCGATGCTAGATAAAGAGTACGTCAAATTAAATTAGAACACTTGGAATAGGCAATCACTAATGAAAATAATAATCGGAATGTTTGCATTCTCAATAACAAATATCAAGAGATTAAATTACTAATTAATGTTTAAAAGTTATTAAAATTATTATCACAAAATTAAGTACAAAATATTATGTTAAAATATTATTATTTAAAAGTAAACACTTACGCAAATTAAATTGGAAAGGACTTCGTAGTTGACTGCTCTCTTCAGTTAGTTATTAAATAAACCTTATTAAGGGTAATCCAATTGGCACAAAATTAACACTAATATCGGCACAGCACTAATTAAAATGTAGATTTATCCTGGATTGATCACATAATCTCTTAAATTAAACACTATTTGAAGAAATCACTAGGTACGTATCACTAGGTACGTATCACTAGGTACTGTATCACTAGGTACGTATCACTAGGTACTGTATCACTAGGTACGTCCGAGAACGGTCAGCCCCGTCACGGTGTCCCGGTAGAAACGGGCGATTTTGCGTCGGTCGGTTTAATAGTTCACAGCAATAGTGTTTTTCGGAAATATTTTTGACAAATAAATAATCATCTTAACTTGCTTACATTTATCGATCTCTCAAATGCAACATTTTGTGTATTACTACATATAGTGTTTTGAACTGACCCACAACGGGCTGTTGCGGGAATGCTTTACTTAGATACACTAATTAGAGTATGCTTTTGTTCGAATATTTAAAGAACAAATATATATATATATCTAATCTATAAATAAATTAAACCAACAAGTTCTCTGTTATAAAAAAAAAAATCTGGTGCCAACCGTATTAACGGTGAGGTGCCCCTGCCTTGAACAGACATACTGGGCATACATTCATTATAGGGTCAGGACAAAATGCAAAATATATAACGTGAACAGTTTCAGTGTTAGAAGCCCAGAAGTAGGTGGGAGTTGGAAACGTTCCATATTTTTATTTCTCATTGTTATTGTATTTTCGTTTAAGTCAAAAAATATCTTCTACCGCATCCCAATTTATCAATTTGAGTAAAAACTAGCGCTTTCTACTCCATAATTAATTAGGCAACCCAGAGGGCGAAAAAATTGTCCCACATGCTTAATAAGAATCATTAAAGTTATTTTACCAATCAAATAATTTCTTCAGTTGGTGGTATATGTAAAAGCTCTTTCAATTCCTGAAAGAAGAAAGAAAACAATTCTTTTCATGAATATTTTGTTTGTTGTAAAAAATAAGTCTACGCAAGAGCGAAAATAAGTGTTGTATTCCAGGGCTTTAATAGCAAAAACGGAATTTGTTATGAGTTGAGAAAAAGGAATAAATAGTACGATTCTTAATTGAACCCTAATTATGTGATTTTATATTTTATAATAGCCGGCCAGGTGGCCGAGCACAAGGCCGTAGCCAGAATTTTTTTCAACGAAAAAAAAGAGCTCAAAACGAAAACATTTGGAAAGAGCAACAGCAGTAGAATCACATAACATTGCATGATCATTGATTTTAAATCAACAAAATGAAGTCTCTGAATCCACTATTTGTTAGTGTCACTAATTAGNCAATATATATGTAGGTAGTTAAAATGCTTAATGAAGACTTATGAACAAAGTCTTGTTTCACAACTACAATGCATTATCTAATAAATTATGTCTGATGTTTTTTGACAAGAGACCACAGTGTAAATGAAATGGTATCTTACCTTACAAATACTGCCAAGCGGTGTCTAGGAGTAATCGCTTTTCTAAAATACGTGTTTTGCTTGGTTAAATGTTCTTTGAGTTTAAGTTCCAATTGATTGAAGGTGTGCATAGGCATTCTGAAGTAATGAAAAAATTTCGTCTCGTCGTCCAACAGATGAGGTAAAAGTGTGGTAAACTCCCCTTCTTCGTGTCTTCTTTTCCATGCATCATGTACCCAATATTCACGTTTCCCACTACTCTTTTCATTATTTCGATCTTCTTCGTCCAAACAAATAGCCACAATAGCTAAATCACGATTGCTAAAATGCTTCAACATTATTGCACAGTTCCACGGTTGTTTGCGATCTCGAGTTGAACTAACGTAAAATCGGAAAGAAGCAGGTTGTGAACATGAAACATGTGCTCATTCCTTTCCGATCCCGCACCGGTCACACTTTTTAAAGAAAATCGGGTATGAGTCGGATCGGAACGCTGCATGACAGGTGTGTCCCAGCCTTAAGAAGTTTCACTTCAATAACATGATTTCGTTAAGCTCATGAGATCGACATCATTCCGGACCTTTGTGTTGCTGTATCCTTTATGTTGCTGATAATCAACAATAAGTTTCTTGACATCTGGTGGCAGGTTTTGAATTGTTTTCCTTATGTTGTAAAACTTCTCCATTTGTTGAAGAAACTCAAAATACTTCTTGTCTTTAACCGTTATCGTGAATTGTTTCTCTTCACCAGGCATTGCTTCTTTGATTGGTGACCTGCCAAAATTGAACTTTAAGCATGACGTCAAAGAACACAAAATAAAAATTATGAAGAAAAAAAAAACATATATATATTTTTTTCTTTTTCCTCCCCTTTTCAATCTTTAATACTCTTGGTAAAATGAATTGTCATTATATTCTTATTTTTTTTGTTCTCGTTTATAGAAGAGACCATTTTTATCTTCATTATATATTAGTGATGTTAAACTATGGGTGCCATTTTTTTGAGAAAAAAAAGAAATTTCTTACAGGCATCAGATGTTAGAGAAACCTTAAAATAATGGAAATGAAAAAAAAAATGGTTCCGATAACGTCACACAGGCAAGCCAGTTTGGTGACTCATACCTCG